AAAAGGAAGGAAAGGAAGAAAGAAGAAAGAGGGGGGGAACCCCACCAACCACTGTTATAGGATCAGGGCAGGGCCTGCAGATGCTCCTTCAGCCACACTTTTGTTAAAAACCAGGCTCTCCATTAAGTCCACAAGTGAATGTCCTAGTCTAGCTGAGTAATCCCAGGAGCCTGAAGTAAACACTGTCAGCCCCTGGGGCTGGACTCTCAGGGACCTAGAAGCACCTGTGGTGACAACATGGTAGCTTCCTTCACAGAGGCACCCTGAGGAGGACTGTCAGTTTTGGTAAAGTGCCCTGAGCTCCTTGGAGAAAAAATGTTAAATAAACCACTGTCAACAGCAGCCCCATGTGGGGTGGGATGCCTGGGCACAGAAAAATAGTGAGAAAGGAATCAGCATTAATCTTCTTTCTCTCATTTGGTTGGTTTGAGGCCAGTCACTCAAACTATCATTTTTATCAGATGGCAACTAGTCAGCATGGGGGGGAGTTGATTTATAAAAATTCAAAAACCAGAATGTTAGCATAGGAAAGGACAAGTCATTTACATTCATACTAACAATAACTATCATCTGAGTACCTGCTGAGCACTTTAAGGAGTTGCTTATTTTGATACAACTCTTGGAAGTAGGTACTACTACCACCGACATGCTAAACAGAGGCAAGCTGATGCTCAGAAAGACTGGGCTACATGCCCAGGCCATCCAGCAAATAAGTGGCAGAAACTAGACTTTGAACCCAGATCTCTGTAAAGCCAGTGTTCTTTCTCTTTCCATTATGCTGTGATACTATATAGACTAAGGAAAAAGCATCACACCCTTGAGTTAGGAGACCAATGCCCAGCTCTTGATTCTCATCAGCTGTGACCTTGAGCAAGCTATCAACAAGTTGGGTTTCAGCTTTCTCACTTATACAATGAGAGGACTGGACAAATCTGAATTTGTGACATCCCTGGGGCATTTGCATGAAAGTCTGCTGGTACCATATGGTCAGGGCCACATGGAAAACCCAATACCAGCAGCAATAGCCTGGAATGAGAGAGATGACAACATACAGCAGTATAAGATGTAAGACATACCCATCAGTCCCAGTGGTTAATCACAGTAAATGTTTTTATTGGGAAATGGGAATGGTAAGGGCAGAAGACTCCAAAAGAGGTCTGATCCCCTCTATCTACATCAACAGATACTTCTCTGAACTCCATGTCCTTTTATTGCACAGGACACACCTCTGCTTTCTACCCTACAAAAAGCCAGTTTTTCAGGTCTTTTGTTCCACAAAAAGCCGGATGTCTGACTGTTGAGTCAGACTTCAATGTGCCTAACGAGTTCGGCTGTCCACAACACATTTATCACACACAGTTCAATCAATCCAAGCCCCCATTCTCTCTCCCTGGTAAGGCTACCCTTAGATTTCAGGATTCAGGTTCTCGGTTCTCCTAAAAGGGTCCACCTAACAGGTGCCTTCTAGGAGTGCTGCTGAAACAACTGTAGCAATGCCCTGTAAGTGGAAAGATCTCTTTTTCCGGGTTTGCTTTCCTCCAAGCATTATCCTGCTGAAAGATGGGAGGTGAGATCAGCCCACTCAGTGCCCTGCCAGTTCCAAGGAAGCAGCAGGGCCAGGGAGAATTTCCTCACGTGTTTTCAACGTGTTTCATGCATTTTATTGCTCATCTACCATGCAGATCAAAAGCACTGGAGCAGGTCCAACTCTTTCACACAGAATCTCACACTCCAGGCTGGCTACAGCCCCAAGAGCCTTCGTTTCTTCACTTGAAATACTGCCCAATGTTATTTTGGGATGTGACCTGATAGAGGAAGCCCACAGGGACTCCATGACGATAACTGTTCCAGCTGTGATTGGTTGCCCAGCCCCAGCTAG